TATTTATTAAATAATAAATGGACACTGACGTACTGAAAAATAACAGCAGAATGCATTTTGGTTATTTCATATAAAGGTATGTACAATCTATTAATTTAATTGGGATCCAATTTATCTCTTGTTTATTAATTCTTAAACACAATACTTTAGAAGTATAGAATAAATAAATAGTAATAGTTAATAGTTAAATAGTTATAACTTATAAGCTTAAAAGTTATAAACCTATAAACTGTAAAAATTTAAAAATGAACATTAAAAATTACAATATTGTTCTAGTAGGTTAGGTAGTAGGTAGTTGAATTCTATAGTCGATAACTGACTTATGAAGTAATGTTATTTTTGTTAGGTATATGACTAATAAATCTTTGAATACAATATTTAAAAATATATACTAACTTATAATAATCAGGCAGGCATAATAATAAGTAGGTATTTGTATTATTTATATTATTGTGATTAACAGGAATTTATTATACTATTAGTCATATTAATAAACAAACTTATTACAGTAGGCTAAATTCTTTTTTATCGAAGGAATTGAAAATGGCAATGTAAATAAAAAATATATAACATTGATATACCCTAAAAAGTACCAACGGTTAATATTTTAAAATAATTGTTGGATATAGTCGTATGGAATATATACTTGCAAATTGCAATTGGCTATTAATTGAACATTGCAGTAATGTACTTATTTTGTCTATACAATACGCCGTGCAACACAATCCCAGTGGCAAGTGACAACGAACACAAATATATTTGTGAAGCGAAATCGTGGCGCAAATATAAGGACTCGGGAAGTCTCTGCACAGTCTATAATWATATCTCAATACGTGGATATAATTGACATTATCGTCGCGGKTCGGGAAATAACCACCAGCTGAAGATTCCTCAGTACTCACTACTCAGTAATCAGTTCCTCCTTCCTCGCACAACTCTGGGTAGTGGGCACCACTGTTTAAGAGTACGTATCAGTGGTATTTGTTGTCTCCGTCTTACCAGTGCGTAATATAGCAAATTTACGCTCAGCAGAACACTTGTAGCTCCTTTAGTTTAAAAATTACAG